CGGTCGGGCGAGCGCCCCTGCCCTATAGCGAAAATCTCTCCAAAAAAAAAAAAAAAGAAAAGAAACAATGTGATCAAGAAAAGAATGTGAAAATACAGTCAAATGGTTAAGTGAAAAACAGTTTCAACCAAGAATACTGTACCTGGCAAGATTATGCTTCATATGGGAAGAAAAGATAAAAACATTCTCAGATAAACAAAACCTGAAATAATTGACCAACACCAGACCAGCTCTTCAAGAGGTTCTGAAAGGAGTGCTTTACCAGGAAAACTAAAGACATACACACAGAAGTAAGAGAACAAAAAGCAACCAAGGAAATGACCAACTTAATGCTAGGGACAAGAAGTATCAAAAATAATGTTAAATGTTAACTTTCAGGATTTTAATGGAAAGATCTGACCACGGTTAACACAGCAAATTCAACAGAAGAAAGATTAATTACAGGTCACTTCCGGCACCTCCCTCTGCATCCAGGTCCTTGGGCTTCGTGCTCTATGCGCCGGCCGGGTTGCTCACTGGTAGTGGAGTGTTTGGTGGTTCCCGCTGTTCCAGCATTCTAAGAACTGGTAGTTCCGCCGGGAGTACACCTTTAGGATGTTATAAAAAACTGATAGAATATCACAAGAAGGGAGACCTGTCTTTTAAATATGTGAAGACCTTTAACATGGACGAATATGTAGGTGAGCTATATTTGAATATATTGACTGTATTATGTAGATATGTTGTAGAGTACATTTTGAATAAAATGAGTGTATTTTTAGAATGTTAATATTTAGAATGTTAATATATTTGGATTTGTGTTTTGAATGCCATGTGAAAATAGTTCTAGAATATAATATATTGTTTTGTGCTTTGTGATGAAATTGGGATGTAAATACAGATATAAAAAACTGTATTTTTGTGATGGCAGATGGTATAATGGAAGGACTCGACATCAGATTTGTATCCATCCTGTCCACTTCCATTTACCAGTGATGTAACTTTGAGCCAATTCTTTCACATTTCTCGTTCTTTTTCTTTCTTAAGGCAGAGTTAAAACCAGTTTTGTCTAGATAAATTAAGTAATATGTATGTAAAAACATTAGTTAATAAAGGAATTTTTCAAATAGAGACTGCTTTTTGTAGCAGTGAAACTTTATATTTAATTGAGTGTTAACTTGCTTAACTGACAAGATCTGTGATACACAGAAACTGTATTAAAATTTAAAAATAGAATGAATTTTTAATAGTAGCATAAAAGATAGTCAAAGAATTTTTATGGTTTAATATGCTTTGCAGACATACAAGAAGAATAGAGGGGAATGTGGCCACATTTTTGTTGAATGGGTGTGTTATTTTGGGCTTAACATATGAGTCAATTCTGTTGGTTAAAATTTTGTGTGTCTGAGAAGCAGAGTATAGTGATTAAGTGTATATGGACTAGACTTCCTGTGTTTGAATCTGAGCCCCTCTGTGAGCTTTGTGACCTTGAAAAAGATTGTTTCCAATGTTCATTTATAAAATGTGAATGTTGAAAGTATTTCCATAGATGTTTTACAAATTTATTGTGTTAATATGTACATATCTATAACGCAATGCAATATCAGACATATAATAAGTATACAGTATAGAAAGTTTATATATTTTAAATAGTTTTATTAAATAGAAAAATAAACTTCAGATTTATCTGTGGAAATACTTGCAATTTTATTTATAAACTTCCTATTTAGGACTTCCAAGAAATCATCCTGAAAGCTACCATTCTTATATGTGGAATAACTTTTTTAAGCATATTGATATAGACCCCAATAATGCACATATCCTTGATGGGAATGCTGCAGATTTACAAGCAGAATGTGATGCTTTTGAAAAGAAAATAAAAGAAGCTGGAGGGATAGACCTTTTTGTTGGAGGTATGTAAAGACATTTCATCATTAATCATTTGTTAGTGTTTGAATTAGGTGTTATAAAATTTATAGAAAACTTGTCATTGTGCAATGGCATGAACACTTGTAACTGTAATACCCATTTATTTAGCTACTGATTTCAGTTTTCATCAAGAAAAAAAAATCTTAAAATTATAACAGTCACCAGTTGGGATTTATAAGTTATTCCTTGAGAGGAGGGTCTAGATCTCTGTTAAGTTCTTCTAATTACCTACCTCTTTAGGGTTGATAGTATAACACATCCTTAAAAATGAGTGATGTTTCTTTTTGTAAATGACAACTTTGTATTTTTAATATTTCATAAAACTCTAATCTAACCTGCTTATCAAGAGTTGAATCTAAAGTGTGTATAAGGGCAGGTAGATATTAGCAGATCATTTGAATTGCTTCATCACACTAAGAAAATCCATTAAGAGTGATGGATTTTATTTATCATTGGTCTTAAATAATATGAATTACGTTTTATAATTGTTTTAAAAATTCCAAAGTGCATAATGTTTAATTGATCAAAATCTACTTGTAATTTTCACTGACATTTGTGTGTATGTGTATAATATGAATTACAAATAGGAAGAAGTTTCTTCCTTTGTGAAAACAAGTTGGTTTTCTTTTATCATTATGGAGAAACTGAGACAGGGAGCTAATTGGCATCAGAATAGGATAACATCAACTAAACTAAAACCAGAATTGGTTTTTGTCAGATTTTTAAAGTAATTACTAAAAATACTAATACTCTTAACATTAAGTTATCTTTATACATTTTATAATTCATTTATTAGAAGACTGCTCAAAATTACATTAATTAGATCTTCAGTGGAGCTGTATTAAAATTAATTTATGGTTGATTTGGCCAAGTATGGTTGATGTAGTTGATTGTAAAACTGAGTTTTTGCATTTGTTTTCAGCCACTTGCTATCTGTATGACCTTGGGAAGTTTATCAACGTTCAGGAATATTAAATAATTTGTAAATCAAGATTAATATTAATCATTCCAAAATTCGTAAAAATCAATCATGCTATGACATGTATAAAATGTTTCACATAGTGCATGGTATATATTACTTGGTAATATATACATGATATGTATGTATTCAGTCTTCTCTCCCTACTAAGCTTTAGATGCTGAAATAATTGTCTCTTAGTTTATTGCGTTTTACTGAATTACCTCTTAGGAAATCTAGTGAGATTTAAATTTTCTCATTATAGAAATTTTTATCTCTCTATAACAGAACCTATGCCTTTTATTGTGTAGATAAAATGGTTATTGATCTGAGCAAGTATTGAAGTAAGACTATTTTATTTTGCTTTTCTAAATAGGAAGTTGTCTGTCCTTTAAGTAGAATTTATAATACTAGGGACCAGCAGTTAGTGTAATGGCTATTGGACGAATGTGTAGGACTTCCAAGAAATCATCCTGAAAGCTACCATTCTTATATGTGGAATAACTTTTTTAAGCATATTGATATAGACCCTAATAATGCACATATCCTTGATGGGAATGCTGCAGATTTACAAGCAGAATGTGATGCTTTTGAAAAGAAAATAAAAGAATCTGGAGGGATAGACCTTTTTGTTGGAGGAATTGGTCCAGATGGTCATATTGCTTTCAATGAACCAGGATCCAGTTTAGTGTCAAGGACAAGATTAAAGACCTTAGCAATGGACACCATTTTGGCAAATGCTAAATACTTTGATGGAGATTTATCAAAAGTGCCAACTATGGCTCTAACTGTTGGTGTGGGAACAGTGATGGATGCTAGAAAAATAATGATCCTCATTACAGGTGCACACAAGGCATTTGCCCTGTACAAAGCGATAGAAGGAGTCAATCACGTGTGGACTGTTTCAGCTTTCCAGCAGCACCCCCGAACTATTTTTGTATGTGATGAAGATGCTACCTTAGAATTAAGAGTTAACACTGTGAAATACTTTAAAGGTTTAATGCATGTGCACAATAAACTTGTGGATCCACTACACAGTATGAAAGTAGGAAATTGAAGGAGATTGGAGCAAAATTCTGCTTGAATGAACAGAACACTCTTATATTTAGTAGATGAATTTTCAGCTATGCAGTATGATAAATCATGAGCAATTTTGAAGATTGTTATTTTAAAAGTTCAGTGTCTATCTTAAACATTCCATATTTAGAATGTGTCTATTTTATACTAGGATTTAAAGGAAGTAGTTGGCTACCCAGATGGATTGGCTGTTATGTTATATAGTTCAGAAGCCACATAGCCACCTATGAAACGGCACAGAAGTGAAATGTCTGCCTACTTGAAGGGGAAAGGCTGTATACATCAGGTATCATTCGTGACATGATTCCAGTGGCACACTGGGATTTTTATGTCTTAAATTACAAGAGGACACTCCAAGCCTTTCAGCTATCAAAGAACTACCACTACAATCCTTTGCTTTAGGAATGCTGTCTTCATATTTCCTGTGCATTATACATTGGCTTTTCTGCACGTGGTTGCCTTAGTATCTCTGGCAGTAACACCTGCACATCAAAAGTCATGCTCTATATTGTTGGTAAAGGAATTTTGAAGAGATGATAGTGCCTAAAAGTACAGTTTACATCCTTTTGGAAAGTATGTATAAGTGCATGATTTTTGTGCACCTTCTATAGCAGTTTTTTACAAATATGTTATTTTTAATGACTAGGGTTCATGCCCTTAATATAAGCAGGAACCACCAAACACTCCACTACCAGTGAGCCAAGATACCTAGCAACACACTTAAGGAAATTTTTAAAGAATATTTTCTGATTGTTAAATTAATAAATGATTAGCATTATTCCATATACATATACATATACACACACATATATATGTCTGAAGGATATCAAATATCTTTTAAAATTTACTGTAAACAGGGACCAGCAGATGGCATAATGGCTATGTTGCTGGACTCCCTTTTAGTCAACTATGGTTTGAGTCCCTGACACAGTGGCTTAAACTCAAGCTGGGCGCGTGTGCATGTGTGCCCAAGATTCCAAGAGGAGAATGGAGAAGGGATTGTGGCGTGGCCATCCTCCCCGGGGGGTGATTTCTTGCTTTCTGTCTGTCTCTTTCTGGCGGTGCACATGCCCTATAGCAAAAACCTCTCTAAAAAAAAAAAAAAAAAATTACTGTAAACTTTAAGATTGTCATAACTTGTTTTCAGTCTTTAACTCAAAGCTTGTAATAAGTTAATCTAAATTGTATTCTGAAATTGATAATGAAGAATGTATGCATTTGAGAGATTCCAATTAGTAAATGTGTGTCAGCCTGCATTTATTTTGATTTGTTGCCAACATACAATTAGGAGATTTAAGTTCAAAGACAATGTCTCTGCGTCTAGTTTCTCGGTCTTGCTCCATGAGGAATAAAAAAGCTCCCTTTCCTATTTAAAAAAAAAAAGAAAGAAAGAAAAAGAAAGATTAATTACATAAGATTGAACTGGTGAAACAGAATTTTATGACTTGAGTAAAACATTTTCTTTTTTTTTACTATGCTTTGCTTTCCCAATTTAAGGATTTTGCTTTCTTTTGAGTTGTTGATAGGCTTAGCAATTTGCTAAAATGTTTTTTCTTCTTGTTTGTTTCTTTAAATGAAAACAAACTTTTCTCCCTTCCTGACCCCTCTGGAATTAGAAAATACTTGGGAGTGTTCTTATTTTGTGGCAGAATGGTTATTTCCGTAAGTTCAGTAACACCTGTTGCCTTGAATCAGAAATTGAAAATACTCATTATTGGACAGGGCTTTGACTGGAATGTCATATCTGAAGATTAAACCAGAAAACTATGGAACTAAGGTAGATCTCAAATAAGTAAGCAGAAGCTCTTGGAAAGATGGCCTGGCACCATAAACAATTCTGCCTGGCAGAGAGGATTAGAAAATTCATACCATAAAATGACCTGGACTTTTCCAGTCCAGCACTGTAGTCAGTAGAGATTGTAAAAGAGCAGCCACAACCAGAGGATTATTTTGAGGAAGACTTTGAAGGAAGAAAAAAGAGATTGATCTTTGCTAACAGATGGTATATCACAGAATACTTGGTAGGCAGGACTGAATTGAGAAGGTATATGTGGGTGTTTGCTTTTCAACAGTTTAAGAAGATGACATGTAAATTTTTTTTTTCGAAAGGTTTTTGCTATAGGGTGCGTGCGCTCACCAGACAGAAACAGAGAGACAGAAAGCAAGAAATCACTCACCAGGGGGATGGCCATGCTGCAATCTCTTCTCCTCTATTCTCCTCTCAGGATCTTGGGCACGCATGCACACGTGCCCGGTGTGAGTTTAAGCCACTGGGTCCGGAACTAGAATCTCGGTCGACTATATGGGAGTCCAGCGACATAGCCATTAAGCTAACTGCTGGTCCCAACATGTAAATATTTTCTCAAAAATATTTAAAACCATATTGTCTCTGTTATAGAGTCACAGACAAAATTATAACAAATATTTTAAATATTATCTTTAAAATTCAGTTTTTTGAAATTTTTTCTTTTTTTGGGGGGGGGAGAGGTTTTCGCTATAGGGCGCATGCGCTCGCCAGACAGACAGAGAGAGAGAGATAGAGACAGAAAGCGAGAAATCACCCCTCGGATGGTCACACTGCAATCCCTTCTCCATTCTCCTCTAGGGATCTTGGGCACACACGCACACGCACCCAGCGTGAGTTTTAAGCCACAGGGTCCAAGACGTGAACCGCGGTCGACTACATGCGACTCCAGCAACATAGCCATTATGCTAACTGCTGGTTCCCAAGTTTTTTGAAATTTTGAAACTTGTTTACTAACTGTCAAGAACTCTGGAGTTGGAGCAAAAACTTTTTGATATGTAAAGTAAATGTTTGTGGGAAAATGTAAAAACAAATAAAGGATTAGGAAAAAAAAAAAAGGAATGGCAGATTATAAAATCAGGAGGAGTCTAGATTCCTGAAGATAACAGGAAACTATCCACCAACCCTGAGTCACAAAATAACTTTCTGAGAAAACAAACAAACACTTCATTTTCTTAAGTCTTTTTTTTTATGTGCAGTCAAATGCAACCTGTAACTGATATATCTTGCTACAATGACATTTTAACAAATTATACCATTGAAATACACTTTCAAGATAATATAATCTATACTACCTTCATATGAGAAAAGTAAATCTTATAAGACGGTTGAACGCTCCAACTAGTCTGTATCAGAACAAGGACTAGAACTTTACTATCACTTAAGTTAATAATTTTTCCAAAATACTAAAATCAAGGCCACTTCACTGATCCAGTCAGAAAATAGCTTATTTAACATTTCATATATTTTTTATCAAATAATGCTTTATATATATACTTGTCAAAAACTAGGTTTATCCTTTTTGTTAACCACATGAAAACCTGTAGTATGAAGTTACTCAACATTAGTATTCAAATGAACTGACATCAATTTCATAAATATGTCTTTATAAGTTACTCCTGAAGTCTAAACAACCCATGAGGAAGATAAAGAATCAGAAAATTTAAAAATAGAATTTGAATTCATCCTCTATCCCACAAAAACAGCTAATTAAACTCTTTCCTCTAATTATCAGCTCACCTGGAAGTCAAATATGTCTGCACTATATAAATAATGTATTCTGAATTTCACAAATATTGTTCTTTATATCTTTTATCTTTAGGTGAAATCTTCTAATTGAATATATAGATTCTTGGATCCCAAGGCTTTTTGCTCAAAAGCTGCATACTTCCCTCACCAGTACCTTGCCTAGATTCCCAATTCTTGCTGCTCAGACAGACCTCTACTGGATTTCAACCCAAATAACTATGCAGGGCATCTGCTCAGAGAATAGAGAAGACCAGTTCATTTAGGGCCTGAACTTTCATTATCTTTCCTTTCTGCTTGGTCAGTAGTCCTGCTCTTGATTGTTCTAATATTCCTTTAGTCCTCTACCAAACAGAAATATCATTTTCTGCCTTCAGTTCTGAACATCCTAGAGACCTACATTTCTTCAACAATATCACAAATCTATCAAGAGAAATAAATGTATTTTTTGCCAATGTGAATATGTTAAGAGTCTGAGGTAGCAGTTAGGAAACGAATTAAGTGTTTCTAGATAAGCTATGAAGTAGTTTATCACTTCATACCAGCACTTGTAACTCTCCATGAAGCTACTGATGCCCAATTTCTTGAGGTAGGATTGGGGATGAGTTATAAAAAGCAGGGAGCCAGTATAGTTTATATTCTGTAAGTAGTATGTTATACTTACAGCCTACAGAGCATATCAAAATTCTATCAGTCATTTAGAAAAGAAACTAAGCTTAAAATAGCCCTAGCAGCGATTTCTAAATGCCACAAGGTGGGGACATGAGTCCATGGTAGAGGAAACAAGTAAACGAAAACACAGCCACAAAAATGGCTTTTCCAAACTAAAGCAATATTTCTTAATTTTACAAGACATAGAAATAAGAGTATTTCTGGGTGGAAGGTAGCAGAGGTGTGTAAAAAGATTTATTTCTTCTTTATCCAGTATTAGCAAAAATGCAAGATTTCTCTAAAGCTTCCATTAATGGTTTGTAATTACTGAAAGATTATCTATAAATGCTCTGGTCCTCAGGATCTTTGTGAATGTAGTTATCCATTCAAAACTATCTGCTGTCATTTATGTTAAACAGAAGGGCTGCTGGTTTAGCACGGAGTAGTTAAAAGGGCATAGACATATTCAAAGGGAAAGAATCTAGCACCATATTTCCAGATCGTGTACAACATATATCACACATACAATACAACTGGAATGACTGAGCAAATCACTTTATTTCTTTAAGCTTAACATCATATACATTAAAGGGAATAATGTTAAATATTATCTCATGTGGTTGTTGTTAAGACTGAAATAAGGCATGTGAAATTAATTTGAATACTGTTTCTAATTAAAGATTTATTATCATTATCGTAATGGCAAGTCCTACCAATCAAATGAGTATTGTATATTCATTTTCATCAATGTACCCCTGGGTTTTCACAAAATTTCCATGTTTTTGAATGTCCTTTTATTTTTTAAGTTTTAAAAACTGATTTATTTCTTTTCATGAGAGAGCCGGAGAGAGAGATAGATACCCTTGTCAGGGTCTCGCCATACTTCAATCCTCCCCACCACCTATCAGCCACAATCATAGGTGCATGGGTGTGACCAGTGTGTCTAGGTTGACCTCGTCCTCCCATGTGACTCCAGAATTGCTCAGCAGCACCCCACTTCCTACACACTGCACTGGGCCTGAGGTTTTGAAATAAATATTCAGTAAGCATTCTGAGATATTTCTAATATGCTCTGGACCCAGCATAAGTAATGCATTTAGCCATCTGTACCTTCCTTCCTTTCTTTCTTTTTTCTTTCTTTTTTTTTTTTAGAAAGATTTTTGCTTGGGACCAGCAGTTAGCGTAATGGCTGGACTCCCATGTAGTCGACTGTAGTTCATATCCTGGACACGGTGGCTTAAACTCAACGCCAGCCGTGCGTACATGCATGCCCAAGATCCCAAGAGGAGAAGGGAGGAGAAGGGATTGTGGCGTGGCCATCCCCCTGGGGGGTGATTTCTTGCTTACTGTCTCTCTATCTCTCTCTGTCTGTCTGGTGAGCACACGTGCCCTATAGCAAAAACCTCTAAAAAAAAAAAAAAGAAAGATTTTTGCTATAGGGCATGTGCACTAACTGGAGAGAAAGAGAGACAGAGATGCAGAAAGTGAGAAATCACCCTGCGGTGGGGATGGCCATGCCACAATCCCTTCTCCTCCATTCTTCTCTCGGGATCTTGGGCATGCACGCATATGTGCCCAACATGAGTTTCAAGCCTCCAGGTCTGGGACTCAAACTGTGGTGAGCTATGTGGGAGGGAGTCCAGTGATGTAACCATTACAACAGCTGCTAGTCCCAACCTTCTACACATTTCAAAGAATAAGTACCTAATGACTAAAATGGAAATGAATAAGCTTTATAAAGTATAAGATATAAATTTAAGTAATTTATCATGGATTAAAATGAACCTCAAAGGGAGAAAAGATGTCACTATGGGCATCAAAAGAAAAAGTAGATGGACAGTCTACTGAGGTTTCACATTTATTGTAAGATAATTTTATGAATTTATATATATATGTATGTGTGTGTGTGTTTGTATGAATATAGATGTGTATGTGTTAGTGTACATGTAAGAGTGTGTATGTATATTCCAGAGGAAGCAGAATGAGAATGCTTTTAGATATACAGAAGATAAGTATTTCTGTATTAACAGGTTCTTTCAGGCTGACCTTATAGCCTAGTAATCGATTAAGGGGTCAGACTCCGCATGACAGACCGTGATTCAAATCCCAGCCTCAGCAGCTTGAAAAACATGCCTGGTGGGGACCAGCAATTAGCGTAATGGCTATGTCGCTGGACTCCCATGTAGTCGACCGCGGTTCGCATCCCGGACCCAGTGGCTTAAAACTCAAGCCAGGCACGTGTGCGTGCGTATCCAAGATCCCAAGAGTAGAATGGAGGGGAAGGGATTGCGGCGTGACCATCCCCCCTGGGGGGTGATTTCTCGCTTTCTGTCTCTCTGTCTCTCTCTGTCTGTCTGGCAAATGCCCTCTTTCTGTCTGGCAAATGCAAGCACCCTATAGCAAAAACAAAACAAAAAAAAAAAAAAAAAAGAAAAGAAAAAAAAGATGCCTGGGATGAGGAGACAATCTTCAGAATGGGAGACTATAACTGCAAATTATTCCTCACATAAGGGACTGATATATCAGAATATACAGGGAATTCAAGAAGTTTGTCCCTCCCTCCAAAATAATCAATCCAATTAAAAGGAGAAAATGAGCTCAACCAATAACTCTCCAAGGAAGACATACAAACGACCAAAAAGCACATGAAAACATGGTCAAAATCTCTTATCATAAGGAAATGCAAACCAAAACTACAATGAGATGTCACTTAACCCCACTCAGAATGGCTAAGATTAAAAAAATATGGGACCAGCAGAGTGCATAATGGTTGCATCACTGGACTCCCACATAGTTGACTGTGGTTCAAGTCCCAGACCCAGCAGCTTAAAACTCATGCTGGGGGACCAGCAGTTAGCGTAATGGCTTTGTCGCTGAACCCTCATGTAGTTGACCGTGGTTTAAGTCCCGGACCCAGTGGTTTAAACTCACGCCAGGCATGTGTGCGTACGTGTCCAAGATCTCAACAGGAGAATGGAGGAGAAGGGATTGTGATGTGGCCATCCCCCCTGGGGGTGATTTCTCGTTTTCTGTCTCTCTGTCTCTCTCTTTCTGGTGAGTGTGCATGTACTCTGTTGCAAAAACCTCTCCAAAAAAAAAAAAAAACAACTCATGCTGGGCAAATGTGTGTGTGTGCCCAAAATCTCAAGAGGAGAATGGAGAATAGGGGACTGTGGCATAGTCATCCTCCCAGGGAGTGATTTCTTATTTTCTGTCTCTCTGGTGAGCACACATTTCCTATAGCAAAAATTTCTCTCTTAAAAAAATAATTAATTAAATTAATAAAGAAAGGAAAATGCTGGTGAGGCTGTGATAAAAGGAAACCATCCTACATTGCCAGTGGGAATGTACAGCCACTATGGAGAATAATACAGAGGTTCCTCAGAAACCTACAAATAAAACTACCATACAACCTCCTAATTCCACTTTTAGGTACCTACCCAAAAGATAGGAAAACCCTCAGTTGAAAAACACTTGCACATCCATGTTTATTGCAGCATTATTCACAATTGCTGGGACACGGAATCAAACCAAATGTCAAAAAACAGATGAATGGATTGAAAAAAATGTGGGACATGCACTCTATGGAATACTATTCAGCCATAAAAACTGAGACCCTGATACTTGATAGAAAGTGTATGAATATGGAAGATTTAATGATAAACAAAGTACATCAGACTATAAAGACAGGCATTGAATGTTCCCACTTAATATATACCAAATGTCTGCACTCTATAGCAGAAACTGAGAGATTGGAAGGTATAATAACAGGGAGGCTAGCTGTAGATACTAAACAGTATAGAAGGGGTTGGGTAGTGGTGGGAGGGCATTGGCGATGGAGGGAGGAGATCGGGGGGGAAAAAAAACATTCAATAGATACAAAAATGAAGATATTTCTTGATGATAATATATATGGTAACATCTCTGACTTTACCAATATGCACCACATTCATGCTGACAGTGTACAACTATGTTGTATGCTGTAAAGATGTACAGTGATTGGGACCAGCAGATGGTGTAATGGTTATGTCACTGGACTCCCTCCCACATAGCTGACCATGGTATGAGTCCCAGGTCCGGTGGCTTGAAACTCACTCCAGGTACATGTGCGTGCATGCCCAAAATCCTGAGAGGAGAATGGAGGAGAAGGGATTGTGGTGTGGCCATCTCTCTGCAGGTTGATTTCTTGCTTTCTGTCTCTCTGTCTCTCTCTGCCTCTCTGGCAAGCACACATGCTCTTATAGCAAAAATCTCAATTAAAAAAAAAAAAGATGTACAGTGATTAAATGTGCATTAAAGAAAGAAAGAAAAACATGCCCGGCATGTGTGTTGTGTGTGTGCTAAAAATCCCAACAAGCTAGAGAAATGGAGGAAAAGGACTGAGCCATGACCTCACACTATAAAGGGGTGCTTTTTCCCTGTCTTTCACCCACTCCTGCCTCTCTGGCAATTAAAAAAATGAATAGGCTCTTCCAGATTTGCAAAGAATAGACACACTCAAATTTACATCCAGTTTGACTTTTACAATTCCTTTTCTTCCATTTCGTCTGTTTGTACCTATGCTAGAAACCCTGCCCAACTTTGTAAGGGGAAGACTAAACTGATATCCTTGTTATAGGATTCTTGCATGCAAAACAGTTCCCACAATGTTTTATTTGGACTTTGCCACAGTTTTTACACTTCTGTATAGAATCTATATGGAAAAAAAAATACATAATTTTCTTCAATAGTTCTTTTTTTTTTAACCATCTTTTACTTACCACTGGCATTCGTTCATAGACACGAATGGAAGATAGTCTATCTACAAAAAGGCAAATATGAAATATGAATAATTAATATTTCTATCAGTTTTTACTGACTTTATAAAGCATAAAAGTTCTAAAATTAAATATATTAAATTTATTACTATATTTTACATATTATTATATTTTTACATATGTCTGTTTTTGTACCTGAAGGATTACCACGAATTTTTTCCATTTTCTCTTCAAGAGAAACAATTTGCTTTTCTAGTTGATCATTCAGTTCAAGTTGTGTTTCATATCGGGCTTTCCACTCACTGCCTAAGTTAAAAAGAAAGGAAAAATCAAGATTGCCCACCATCTCTGATTTATTCATTAAAATAACACAAATCAGCTTAATCTTACTCTTTTGTTCTACCAGAATTTATTAATAATACAGATGAAGTAGAGGAAAAAATATTAAAGTATTGTCATGCATCATTTAATGATGAGAATATATTCTGAGAAACACATGGTTAGGAGATTTCTTGGTTATACAAACATCATCGAGTGTCTTTACACAAACCTAGAAGGAAGAACCTACTACACACCTAAGCTACATGGAATAGCCTAATGCTCCTAGGCTACAAACCAGTACAGTATGTTACTATGCTGAATACTCTAGACAATTTTAACACAATTGTATTTGTGTATCTAAACATAGGAAAAGTAGAATAAAAATATGCTGTGTAAGATTAAAATGATACACTTATATAGGGTACTTACCATGAAAGAAACTTGCAGTACTAAAAGTTGTTCTGGGTAAGTCAATAAGTGAGTGGTAAGTGAATGTTAAGGCCTAGAATATCACTATATGCTACTGTAGGCTTAATTAAAAAAAAAAAACAAAAACAAAAAACACCGTATACTTATGCTAACTAAATTTATTTTAAAATATTTTAACTTTTTAAAAAATTTATTGACTCGTAATAACACTTAGTTTGAATTACAAACACGTATAGCTATATGAAAAGAATTTTATATCCTTATTCTGTAAGCTTTTTGATAGTTCTAAATTTATTATATTTTTACTTTTTTAACTTCTTTGTTAAAAACTAAGATGAAAATACACACATTTCATATTACCTTTTTTTGTTAAAAACTAAGACAAAACACACACACATTTTGTATCCCCTAGGCTTACTCAAGGTGAGGATCAACAATATCACTCTACAAGCATATCTTGTCTCACTAGAAGGGCCATGATGAACAAACTCACATGAAATTAAATTAAGCACAAGAGAAAATGATGTAATGAAGAGACATGACAAACACAAGATACATGAAGCTACTTCCAGAGTAACATGATGTAGTTTTACTCCTTAACCTTTATTTTTAATAAGTAGAAGGAGTATACTCTTAAAAATGATAAAAATTATAGTACGGTAAATACATAAACCAGTAACAGTAATTTTTTATCATTATCAAGTATAACATACTTTACATAGTTGTATGTGCTATACTTTCACACAACTGGCAGTGCAGTAGGTTTGTTTACACCAGCACCACCACAAACATGTGGGCAATGTGCTATGCTATGACATCAGGAGGACAATAACATCACTAAGTGATACAAATTTTTCAGCTTCATTGTAATCTTATGAGACCATCATACATGTAGTCAGTCTCTCTCCCCACCCCTTCTTTCTGGTAAGCACATATACCCCCTGGCAATAAAAAAAAATAAATTGTATAGATAATAGAGCTAATAAATGAGGGAACTAGACTTTAAACCCAGGGTATTTTTTGTAATAGTAATTTTACTTGTGATTTCTAATTTACATATAAGAGTTATATATTTTTGTGATTTTTTTTCAAAGCATGTATACAATGACTTAAAAGCTTATCTTCTTAACCACTAACCTACAGTAATTGTGTACATTTAGCTATCTCCTTAGTATCCTTAAGCAGGTTTCCTTCACCAAACTCCCCTGGTTATTAAGGCCAAAGTATTCATTTTATTGCTTTAGAATGGGGTAAGGGTAGGGGTTATAAAGCCTAGAGTTAAAATGTCTTTGTTTAGCTTCAAGACCCCAAACAAACTTTTTTGAGTCTTGAAAGTCAGTCCTTATAGGGACAAACAAGATGGCTTTTTCTTTTCCACTTTAAATACTATTTACATATATATAACAGCTGCTACATGATGGTTATGGAGGAGTCTGAGGAGAGTTACAACACGTACAACCTCCTCAATCCTGACACAGTTCTCCTTCATACTCTCATCTCTATGCAAATACGATTTACCAAAAAAGGGGGGAAGAACATCCTTCCACACTGAAACTCAAAGTCATTAAACCAAATGCTTTAGGAACAAGGAGAGTCATAAAAGACTAAACTTTTAAACAAAAGATACCACTGAGCCCAAACAGATGGAATTATCTTTATAACTGACTAGCTTCTGAAGTCTCTCTTAGTCGCCATATTCTTCCCACCATGGGAATGGGTGTTTCAGAGGAAGATGAGAATGGTTACCAAAAAACTAAAACTGCAATTTATTTTTGGCACATTTGAGAGCATAGTTTAGTAATTTTGATTCCATTTTATTTAAAAATGTTCTCCTAAAGATCACTGATTATAGATAAGCCTAACATACTAGGACTTATTAACGTTAATGAGTACAAGGTGTTAGAAATAATGCTATCAATATTCATGTTCACCAAAGTGGCAAACTGACCTCCAACATATGCACTCAAATGTCTAGTTCTTTCAGTGTACACAGATGGCTCTGAAGTATAGAGGATAAAAGAATAAAGACATATGCGCTCCTGAATTAATGGAGAAATTTTCTTTTTTTGAGAGGCTTTTGTTATAGGGCACGTGTAACCGCCAGAAAGGCAGAGAGAAAGAGAGACAGAAAGCAAGAAATCACCCCTGGAGGGGGCAATCCCTTCTCCTCCATTCTCCTCTTGGGATCTTGGGCAGGCATGCAGACATGCCCAGCCAAAATTTAAGCCACCAGGTCTGGAACTCAAACCATAGTCGACTACATGGGAGTCCAGCGGCATAGCCATTACGCTCACTGCTGGTCCCTAATGGAGAAATTTTAAAAACTGTGGTGCATGTTAAAAATGGGAAGAGGGGCCAGCAGGTAGTGTGGTGGTTACCGCGATAGACTCCCACATGGCCTACTGCATTTCAAATCCCACTTGTGTGCATGTGTGCGCAAAAATCCCAAGAGCGTAAGGAATTGCTGGGGCGTGGCCGTCCCCTGGTGGGAGGGGGTGGTGATTTTTCACTTTCCCTCTCACTGTCTTTCACTGTCTTTCTCTGGCCAGTGTAAGCACCCTATGATAAAAGCCAAGAAAGAAAGGAAGAAAGGAAGGAAGAAAGGAAATAAGGAAGAAAGGAAGAAAGGAAGAAAGAGGAAGAAATTTGAATTGTAATTGAAACTAAGTGTTATGTGGCAGTAGGGCTACTTTTTACCTTTCATAGACCCTAGGTACTTTGCTTTTGTAGGCCCTTTACTCCATTTAAAAAAAATTAAAAATTATATTTATTACTGTGTTAGTATAAAGACAAACATAATCCATTCTAAATCATATTTATTTTTTTCTTCTGATTTAAAAAAAAAATTAAACATCACTAGCTTTGGGACCAGCAGATGGCGAAATGGTTATGTCGCCAGACATCCACATAGTTGACCATGATTGAGTCCTAGACCCAGAGCATGTGCGTGCGTGCCCAAGATCCTGAGAGGAGAATAAAGAAGGGGTTGTGGCGTGGCCATCCGCCCCAGGGGTTGATTTCTCACTTTCTGTCTCTCTGTGTTTCTTGTGAGCACATGCATCCCACAGCAAACAAACAAAAAAACTCTCTTAACAAGAAAAAAAAAAAAAAACCGCTATTTTTTTCTCCTTTTCTTTTTTTAGATTGTTGCCATAGAGCACAAACGCTCACTGGAAAGAGATAAAAGAGACAGAGTAGGAAAGTGAGAAATCACTCACCAAGGGGGATGGCCACTCCACAATCCCTTCTCTCAGGAGTTTGGGCACACCCACATGCGCACCTGGTGTGTTTCTTTTGTTTTTGTTTTTTTCTTTTTTTGGAGCGGTTTTTGCTATAGGGCGCGTGTGCTCGCCAGACAGACAGAGAGAAACAGAGAGACAGAAAGCGAGAAATCACCCCCCAGGGGGGATGGCCACACCGCAATCCCTTTCCCTCCATTCTCCTCTCAGGATCTTGGGCATGCATGGACATGCGCCCGGCGTAAGTTTAAGCCACTGGGTCCAGGACTCGAACCGCGGTCGACTACGTGGGAGTCCAGTGACATAGCCATTATGCTAACTGCTGGTCCCACACCTGGTGTGTTTCAAGCCACTCATACAGCAGTCACCCACGTGGGAGCCAGTGCCTTAACCACCATGCCACCTGCTGGCCCCCACATATGCTTTTAAATTATATGGACCCTATATAATATGCCCACTATACCTACTACATTAGTCAACCCCTACTAGTTGTAAAATTTAATTTACCTAGTCCTAGGTCAACTTCCCAATAAAGAATACAAACTAATCATAGTTTAGAGCAAAGAATAGTGTTGTTCTCAAGCTGTCTAGACAATGGGTCATCATTGAGAATAGTTCCCAGAGTTATTTTGACTTATCTATGTTTGGCATTTCTGCAAATAGTTCATATGTACATCTGATTTACCATATTTGTACAAGCTATTGCCACACTGTCAAAGTTGGCCTGAGAATATATTAATGTTTCAACACCTAACTTTGGGGAGGGATATACATAAACAGGGGAAACTAAAGGTTATCAGAAAAGTCGTCATGTGTTTTTCTGTGCAAAAATGCGTCATGACTTTTTCGACAACCCAATCCTTCAGAGAAATCAGAAGAGGCATTAAGTAACTAAGCCCAGAGATGACAGAAAAAGACAAGATACAGCTATCAACTTGATTAAACTAACTTGATTTGTTCCATGTTAGTTTTGTCTCTAACCCTATTAAAATATTATTAACAACTAATTGATTTAAATACCTTTACATAAATGTATTGAATTTCTGACCTCTTAGCAAGTGGATGGAGTCCCACAAAACTAGAGATTAAAAACTTTTTCTTTTCTCAAAATAGCATTGGCTTCCACAAATCAGGTCAACTTCCTAATTAACCATCTATCTATCTATCTATCTAATCTATCTATCTATTTATTTAGAGAGGTTTTTGATATAGAGTGCATGCATTCGCCAGAAAGACAGAGACCAAGAGACAGAAAGCAAGAAATCACGGTTCCCCCCCACCCCCAAAGGATGGCCACGCCACAATCCCTTCTCTATT